TCCCGTGACAGTTTCTCGGTCGATCTCTGTCGTGCTGCCACATCCTTGTCGCGGGCTCGCAAAGTCCACGCTACCCCGCCGCATCTCGTGCGGCTGTCGCATTCAATGCTTGAGCCATATGCACTGACACCGGGCCGCGTGTCTGGCTGCGCTTGGAAGCTAACACTCAAACAGCAGGGCTAGATTATACTGCTGGACTCAGCGCTGTTGTATCTCAGTTCCGTGCCACAGGTGGGCCGTAGCAACCCAGCTGCAATTCTTGTGACCACAGCATCACCACCTGATGCGCATCAACAGACAAGGAAAACTTATACAAGAGTGGATGGGTTAAACCTGCTGGCACTACCTCCGTTGGGCGCTGTCCAATGTCACTGCCGTCCATGAAGATCTGAGTCCACACATATCAGTTATCGTCACCAAGCCCTGCACATGTCTAGCTGAAACATGCAGCTGTGGCTAAGGTCTGTACGGTCAGGTGCCTGCATTCACGGAACTCCGCACGCGCTCGCAGAACATATGCCACCTGAGACAGCGTTCTAAAACCTAAACCCTAAGCCCCTAAACCCTTGAACCCTAAATCATGCAAACCGTGGCTCTATGTCGTTCACAAAAAAAAGATTCACCCATGACTTCCAAGCCGCGCACACTTTGTATGCCAGCTGCGTCACTTTGAGACGGGACGACTGATTCACCGCGGCAATGGCATTCGAAGCCCATCTGTCCTGGCGGCATATGGTAACACTACCTGTACGAGATTACAAGCTCAATAAAACATCTCTCCTTTCCATCATAGAGACGCTGGGCTGCCTGGGCAGCCACGGAATTGACAGCTAGCGTCGTAAGACGCCTCCTCTTGGCGCCCATTGAGTGCATGATCTCAAAACGCCCGATGCCAGTGCCGTCGTCTCGTTCGGGATGGAAAAGATTCCCCAGGGACACCGTATCCAAAGCGAGAGCCAGCTGTGTCAGCAAGATTCGCGCCTGCGTGGCCAGCAATGCTTTGTTCTTCTTGAGGGTCTCATGCTTGTTGTTCAAGGGCATCGGTTCCAGAGACCACAGTATAAAATCTACGATGCTTGGTGCTTTGCGTGGTGAAGAAGGATACGGCTTCGAGGGCTCCATGAAGTCAGAATCCCAAGCCAAGCTGACGGCGTCACTCATATCCTTGCTCAGAAGACCTTCAAGAACAAAGGTCCCCGAGACGGACCCCCTCAAGGTGTGCCCGGCTCCGTCGGGTTTCACCGCAACCCATTGCACAGACACGGGAGCTGCGGACCTGCAGACGTACTTCAGGAGAGCTGCCAGCACTTCCGCAGCTGTCTTTCTAGACTCCGGAGATCGCTTAGGGGCCGTCAAAGCCCACGTAAGCACAGACAGCATAAAGGAGGTGGAGATTAGATTGTGCCAACCATCGTTGGAGCACACATCCACTTTCTCCACCGAGGGAACCTCGACTCCTGGCCAAAGCATCTCGTGGCAAGCCTTGATGTCCCCCATTGCATTTTGCAGCTTTGTGCGGCGCTTGCTGCGGTCCATTGTGGGATAAAGCACTTCGAGGACATCGGACAAAGACCAGTGCTTCTGCTCGTACTTCGGGATGATATAGACAGACAGAAAGAACTTGTCATCTAAGTGGAGATGACCTGGAATGTACGGTGCTGCGATTTACGGTCGCAACATCAGGGCTTAGCAGTTAAGGTTCCTACGGTCTCGAAATTCAAGTGGAGTTTCGTTGCTGTCCAAGCGACGGCCGTCCATCACGCAGAGAGCCAGAGCTCTATTCAGGCTGCACCGAAAGTCGTCTAAGTAGTCATGCCATGTCACCGGTACTTGTGCCATGAAAGCGGTGTACGTAGTCATGCCACACTAGTGCTACTCGTGCCATGTTTTCCCATGTTGCTGACATGGGCCCTGCGGCCAAAATGGCCGGGCCGCCTCAGGCAAACGCTTGCACAGGAGGGTTTATTAAGGGTTGTTTTGGCCAGAGCCTTATTGAAGATTATTCTGCTGTTAATAAAGGATCAATAACCCTCGCGAAACAAGGCAAACACCAAGAACCCAATTAGATACTAATAAGGCTTTATTAAGAGTTATTAGTGTTTACTAAGCAATCCCAGTCCTTATTAAGCTTATGAAGGTGTAGCTGCTATGAGCCCTTGCTTCCTGCAATCTGCGGTATGATTTGTGGGGGGCTCCCCTTGTGTTCTTATGA